CCCCCGCCCTACGGAATGCACTGAAGCCATGGCTACGGCGGGCAGCTGTATCGCCTCGTGTGCGAGGGGGGCCCGCGGATGCTAAGCACGGGAATGCGCCTGGTCTTCGGCGAGGCCTGCGCGGGGAGGGTCTCGGAGTGCGGCAACTTGGTCATGAACAAGCCCAACCGCCTCATGCAGGGGTTCTACATGGTGATCGTCAACTGCTCCTTCATTTGCTTCATCTTCGAGGTGGGTGAGGCGTGTGCGTGTGTTTTGGTGGCGGGCGGGCGGCGAGTGGGTGGAGGTGACAGGGACGCCACCTTGTAGCTGTTTAATACCCCATCTTTTCGGCCAACCCCGAACGAACGGCAACTGCGGTTTGTTGTAGCTATTTTATCCCTCGTCTTTTTGGCCAAAGCCGTATGCTTTATAGCGGGAGTATCTGGGACTTTTGAAGTGTTCGTCGATGGCAAGCACGCCGCGGTAAGATTTGGTCGTACTCGCTTTTTGTTGGCCCGCTGCACAGAGGGGTCGGCACGAAGCTCGACCTTTCCCAATCCGACACTGTGGATGAAGCGTCCAAATCGAATGGAAATGCTGTGCGGTGGCCCGCCCCCGTTTCATGATAAGTCCCACTCCTGGCTAGCTAGCTGTAGAAACACCGGCCATCTCTTCCGTTTTCGTCCGTCCTTCGTGCTGTTCATCCCATCAACCCCCGATCCGAACCGCACTCCACCCCGTCGAACACCGCGTGACATTCGCACAATTTCCTTTGGAGTTCCTGTTTGCAAGTTCCATTGCCACCACTCCTCTGTGCAGATCATGGACGTCCGCTAACTTGCATTACTACAAAGAACATGCTGCCGGTTCAGCCGTCATCCCAGAATTCATCGCGAGAAGTTATTATAGTTCATGGGTCGTCGTTGCTGTGTCGCTTTCATCCAATCCCCTCCGACCCCCCCTCAACCGGCACAAACCAGGGGTTTCCACGCCTTCCCAACGACGTCCTCCCGTGGCCTTACCACACGGTCACAAGCTACCTGGTCATGGCCGCCTGCATCGGTTCCTTCTTGCTAGCGTGCAACGTCCCCCCGGGGTCTGTGAGGGCTCCCGCCGCCGAAGGCGCTTCGAATCGACGACGGGGGGGGGCGGGGGAGGAAGGGGTTGCTGCTGCTCCCGGGCAGAACGCCGGGGGGGGGAGGCACGCCGGGCTGTACCCGCACGACGGAGTGGTGTTCGTCGAAGGGTTCTGCAAGACTTGCCAGGTGGCAAAGTGAGCGAACGGGCGGGGGAAAGGGTCGTGTGTCGTGGTTTAGTCTGAGGAATGACAGAGGATTGAACAGGCACCCAGCCCGAAGACACACACACACACACACACACACACACATAGTGCAGGGTCTCCAAACCTGATTGGCTAGACTCCCGATGGCCCATTGCTTGCTTTTCATCATCATCATCATCTGCTGCTGCTGCATGCCGTTATTCATCATTCCTGTTCTTGTTGTGGAAATATCCCCGTGGTGTTGCTGGCTGCCAATACTGACGCTTGTGTGTGTGGCCCCGTGTCGTGTGAACAGGCCGGCGCGATCCAAGCACTGCCGGGTGTGTAACGTTTGTGTCCCTCGCTTCGACCACCACTGCGCGTGGCTTAACCAGTGCGTGGGGGAGGAGAACTACCGCATCTTCCTGTTATTCCTGATCGTGAGATTTTACCATGGGATTATTTAGGTAGCTAGGTTTGAGACGTACATGTTTTTGAGTTGAGTTGTCTAGCCTTACCATGTCCTTTGTTTGGTATTAGGTAGTTAGGTTTGGGATGTATGCTTTTGCATTGAGTTGTCTAGCCTTCTGTCTGGTCTCGGGGGCTATTTCTGATGTGCCTGGGCTTTGTTGTCTTAAATAGTTTGAAACGAAGACGCTACGTGATTTTTTTGTTTTTATGGCGCGGCACGTAGGACTGCAATCTGTCTGTCGAGGGCACGAGCCGCCTTACTGCTGCTTTTGCTACCTCGGCCGCGAAGAGGCTTGGGATTGTGGACAGAGTATATCGATGATTTCAACACGATCAACCAATACAAGTCCCTATTTCGAAATGTCTGAAGGGAAGAAAACGAAACCAGATACACCTGGGGGTGGAAGATGTCAACAGCATACCTCGGTGCCGCAAACGTGAACTGTATTCTGGAATGTCCTGCATTGCCGAACAGACTCTTGATCAGATTTTCCTCGTCCTGCTTGTCCCAACCTGTTCACCACGTTCGTTACGTGCCATCCAACCGAATGGTGTGCACAGGTCCATAGCTCCATGCTCTGGTACGGCACAGTGCTCACTTACGGCATCCTCAAGTCGGTGGTGATGAAGAGGAAGCTCCTGACGGCGAGGTTTTACCACAAGAGGTCCAAGACCTATGTCCGCGGAAGCTACGGCGTCGTGCTACAGGTGCGTGGCGTGGGCGCACACAAAATAACCGATGCACGTTGAACCCCGACCTTCTTGTGTGCCCCTTAGCATCACGGCTCTTTGCGGTGTCGTAGGGACAGCGCGAGCTTTGCCTTTCCTCGGACCAAAGTCACGCAGCAAACACAATTCGTTTGGCAGATGGACATGTTCTCACCCCCGTTCTTTTTAACACCTCACGATAACTTCACGATATCGGTGCAACTCACACACATTTTCGCCCCGTGTGTATAGACTTGTGGTTAGCAAAGGTAACCTTAGCTACTCAAGGATGTTTTTTCTGGCGACCCCTCTTGTCATTCGTTCGCCTCAAACCAAGCGCCAGGAACAACGAAAGTTTGTCATCGCGATCTCGTCCCACATCCGCGCGTGAGTTGTGAGCCTTGTCGTGGCATGTACCGTGGGTTGCACAATACATGTCCACTCTGGGACCAATTTTCACAGCTCGATTGCTCCACGACAAACAGGATGCCAAAACCAAGTAAGTACTTGTACGTTTTTCGCAAAGCTCTCGACGAGACGGACCTAACACGGCCATTTCCCGCAACATTGCTGCTTTTTCTTCAGCGTACAATAATCGAGCTTTGGAAAGCGGTCCAGGGGGTATCTCCCCTATCACCTATGGTATGCACGAGATAGAGGGCGGGGGGTACTCATCGTCGTGCATGCCGTAGTCGTTAGACCATTGACCTCGCATCCCTACAAAGCCGGGACGGAGCACGCCGGGTTCTCACCAGACCAGGCATACGAGATGGGGGGGCGATCTTTCGTCTTCCTTCACCTTTTCCCCCAGTACTTTGATGCGACTGAAAGTGTGGCAAGGCGAGCTGGCGATCTGCACTAAACAATGGTTGTTGGAACCATCTCCAATGATTGCTGGCACCCTGTCCGTCTGTGCCGCGTTGCATTCATTTTCATGCGCAAATCGCTCGCTCTCGTCCGCGTGTTGGATTGAACGGGGGACTCCTTCAAGCAGTACCTCATGCACCACTACGGCAAGCTGTGCGGGCTCCTGGCGCTGTCGGCAACGATGGCGCTGGTGCTGACGGGATTCTTCTCGTACCACGTCTACCTCCTCCTCAAGGGCACGACCACCAACGAGAGCGCAAAGTGGGGCGAGGTGGGTGGGTGTACATGGGGTATTGTTGCCGCGCAAAAAGAACGATCGACCAAAATGAATGGGACCCTTGTGGTGTTTTTCGCCCGGGGACCGCCCAAAGCGTTTCCTTGAGTGCGCTTTCAACAACGGTTCAAGAGTGGTCGTGGTGGGGATTCACTTGTGCTATGAGTGGTGGTGGTGGGGATTCACTTGTGCTATGAGTGGTGGGGGGGTACGTTTGGTGCCTCATGGTTGGGTTATACTTTGAAGTCCGCGGTGACAGAGGTTGGCTCTTCTTTGAGCGAGGCTGGAGAAGTGGAAAACCCTGGGTAGTGTTTGCATCGGTGAAGCGGCTTTTAGGTTGGCTACATCTATCTATGCACTGTAGAAACTGGCATGAATATCTACGGTGGGTTAGGTCAATCGGTGGGTGCTGCTCTTGTAAACGTGTGCTTGTTGCAGTACTGTACTGTGCTGTGTTGTGGCGGGGATGCGTGACCGCGCTCTCCGGAACATTATTTCCCCACCGGAGATTGCGCGTGATTGTAGCTCTTTCGCTCCCAGCCGCCGCCCCCCCTTCCCCCTCCGTCCGTCTTCATGAGGATGCCCCACCCACACGCGTTCACCACACCTATTTCTTCTGTGCGAACATGCAGGCGAAAGACTTCCACCGACGACTCACGAAAGCCTGGGAGAACGGGTCTTTGGTGCCGCCTCCTGTCCCCGTACCCGCGAAGACCGGTGAAGGACAACCGGCGGCGCCGGCATCGGCACCGGCGGAGGGAGACGATGGGGAGGGACGAGGGGGAGGGGGAGG